TTCTTAACCTGCGTACAGGACCTTCAACTAATGCAGGAGGTATACAGTCCCACTAGGGGCAATGCCTTACTGGACTTGGTGTTGGCTACAGGGGATGACCTGGTAGGGGAGCTGCAGATTTGTGGTCACCTTGGGGACAGTGACCATCAATCAATCAAATTCACCATACAGTGTAGGGTGGGAAAGATATCTAGTAGGGTTGAAGTGCTTGACTTTAAGAAGGCTAACTTCAGTGGGCTCAGAAGCTTAGTCAATGACACACTGCAGGATAGGAGTATTGGTGAGCTGGGAGTCCAGGAAGGGTGGTCGTTCCTAAAGGAAACGATCCTTTGAGCGCAGGGGGAAACGATCCCATTGCAAAGGAAAAGGGGGAAAGGGGCCAGAAAACCTCCATGACTAAACAGAGAAATCCAGGGAATCCTAAGGGGGAAAAAAAAGAGGCACATAGGTGCCGTAGTTTAAGAAGGATGTGGATAACCTCGAGAGGGTCTGGAGGAGGGCCACTCATGTGGTTAAGGGTTTGCAGGCCAAGCCCTATGAGAAGTGACTAAGGGACCTGGATCTCTTCAGAAGGCTGAGGGGCAATCTTGTGGCCACCTACAAATTCATTAGGGGGGCACAGCAAGGAACCAGAGATGCTCTGTTCACCAGGGTGCCTTTTGGGCTAACAAGGAACAATGGTCACAAACGGACAGAGAGCAGATTTAAGCTAGACATCAGATCAAACTTCTTCACAGTAAGGGTGGCCAGAACTTGGAATGGGCTTCCAAGGGAGGTTGTGCTCTCCCCTGCCCTGGGGGTCTTTAAGAGAAGGCTGGACAGGCATCAGGCTGTGGTCATCTGATCCCAGCGCTCTTTTCTGCCTAGGGCAGGGGGTCAGACTTGATGATCTGTTGAGGTCCCCTCTGACCCGAGCATCTATGAATCTATTAATTGTCCTGCTCTCAGCAAGCGTGGCCAGCAAGCTCACAAACCTTTTTAGATTGCGTCTCAAATGTCGACGGCAGCATTTCTGGGAAGAGTTTCAGGAATACGGGTAACAGGAACTCCATGAAGGGAACAATGATGAAGACCAAAAAGGGGACCAACCGGAAGAGATCAGCACAGGTTCTCAGCAGCTGCAGAAGGAACAGCAGGGCAGGGATTATTTTTCAGTCTGACAAATCTGATTTTGCCACAGTTACACACAGGCTTTGACAACCTGAATGAGATGCATGGCATTATCAAGATGGCCTTTCTGCACATAAATGACAATACATGACACTTGTGAAGCACTGCAACAACAATGCCTCCTTGTCACTCTCTCTCACAAAAGCCAATTGGCCCAGAGAGACCAAACACTCCTCTCATTCTGGAGATGCTCTCCCAGCACAAGACTGGGGTGCCCTGGCAGAGCACAGGGGACCTGTTTTGCCACTGCTTGTGCTTTACCACTTATGAAGAAACACATAGGATTTCAGCCTTGAAGGTGGAGAAGCTGTCACCTGTTAATACGTGCTACCTTCCCCAGGCAGTTGTAAGCTGATGCCCACATTTTACTTCTCTTGAAACATTATCTGGTTATCAAATAGATTTGATTTCTTTAGTGGCATCAGGTGTTTGGCCATACTAGTTTAGCAATTTGACACCAACGTGTCCATCAAAGTCATACTCACCCTTCGCCTCTCTCTCCTAGTGAGAACCTGCCCATGTAGCAGCCTCCATACCATCCTGGCAGCAACTTTTGTATCAATCCAAAGCAAGTGGAATCCATTGTAATAGTGTTTCAGCTCCTCCATAATTCTTTGGCTCAAGGATTTTTTCCCCACAGCAGTCTCTATGCCCTTGTCAGATACAGCTGCAGTATGCTCAACACTCTGGTTTGCAGTACGTTGGTTAGATTGAGGTTTCTCTTGAAGTTCTTGATGCCAGTAAGCAGATGTATGAAATGTCTGCACTGCATTAGTTCGCAATTGAGGTAGTCCAGTGCACCGACGGGTGCAGTAAAGGAACTGCTGGCTTTCAGAGTCTTTAATACACGTTCGGTTTAAATTAGACTCCACTAGTTGGACAAATGCCAGAGAAGGAGAATGCAGAAAACAGCTGGAGTTCACAAGAAGATGAGGACCTCTGAAAGGAGAGAGATAAGGTCAGGCACAGGTCATTCTCTGTTGTGGCTTGGTTATCAGACTTGATACAAGCAAATCAATACTCTTGGTTCCAAATTTACAGTAGAGAATCTGCCCAAAGATCGAGTCTCTGGGATAACATTTTTGCCGGTGAACAAAGAACTTCAGGAAAGCTGTGTAGTGCAGTCGGTATGGCAACTGGCTGTGGGCTGGAAGAACCTAGGTTCAATCCCAGTTCCACTTGCAGTTTCTACTCCCAGTGTGGCCCCAAGGCCCACCCAACCTCCTATCCAGGGGGCACCAAAAACTACCTGGGGATAAAGGTTGCCAAAGTGTGGTGCTGACCCAACACCACCACCTTCTTGTGCTGAGGTTAAAGAGGCATGCCACCATGGCATGTGAACAGGGCACCTTTTTTTTTTTTTTTTACCTTTACCAAGCACTTTTTTTTTTTA